GGTCGGGTTAGAACGGATAAAAGGAAGTCCTTCTTCACCCAAAGAGTGATTCACACATGGAATTCACTGCCACAGGAAGTGGTGGCGGCTACAAGCGGGAATTAGATAAGCATATGGAGCAGAGGTCCATTATGAAATTGCTGAGCGGTCGGGTTAGAACGGATAAAAGGAAGTCCTTCTTCACCCAAAGAGTGATTCACACATGGAATTCACTGCCACAGGAAGTGGTGGCGGCTACAAGCGGGAATTAGATAAGCATATGGAGCAGAGGTCCATCAGTGGCTATTAACCACAAGGTATAGATAGGGACTCTGGGGCAAGGGATGCTCTGTCATCTTGGTGCTTGGGGATGGGGGGTCAACAGTGGGAGGGCTTCTAGTGTCCTCCTGGCCCCACTGCTGGACCTCCTGATGGCCCCTGGTATTTTTGGCCACTGTGTGACACAGTGTTGGACTGGATGGGCCTTTGGCCTGATCCAACATTGGCATCTCTTATGTTCTTATGTTCTTAAGAGGACCAGTGGCAGGAGGTGATAAGAGCAATATTTTCTGCCAGCCAGAGCCGGGTGGCCCAGTACACGCAGCGGAGCGTACCTGATGCTGTTCTTGTGCAGGGTGTCCAAGTTGCTGCCGTTGGTGTCGGAGCTGGCCCTCTTGTCCAGGTTCTGGAACCGCTCACGGGCCGTGAGCCCACGCTGGGAGCTCTGCTTGGGGATGTCCAACTTCCCGCCAAAGCTCAGGGAGCCCTGCTGGCTGTCGTAGGCGAACAGCACGGGGCAGCAGTCGTGGCCCTGGGGGGAGACGGGAGAAGGAGCTCAGGTCAAAGGAGCTGGCTTTCCAACAACGAGGCACGGTTTGCGAGGACAGCACGTTTTCGTCGATGTTCTCTTGGCAGTCCTCGGAGCGCTGTCAGCTCAGGGGGTCTGATTCTTACAAACAGCAGGGGAAACAGATTCAGGTGGGGGGGGGTAGCCAGTGTTCCCTCTAAGGTGAGTTAGCGTGAGCCGGCTCGCAGTTTTTTAGCCTCCGGCTCACGCATTTTTGTCTTCGCTCAGGAAGGAGGGCTCCAGAGCAAACTAACTGACGCAGTCGCCAAATCGCTCGCTCACAACTTTAATTAATTCATTCATCTATTTAATGCCGGTAACTCACAAAGTAGAATATTTGCTCACAAGACTCCACAGCTTACAGGGAACATCTGGAAGCAGCAAAGTTTGAGTCCAGAGGCACCTTTAAGACCAACGAAGTTTAATTCCGGGTATTGGCTTCCGTGTGCGCGCACGCTGCTTCAGATACAGAGAAACGGAATTTCCTCAAGCCGTGCATATAGGTAGAGACGGGGCTATTTTTGGGCAGGAACGCACAGGAACGGCTGGCTCCCAAGTTGGCCACGCCCAGCAGGAACTCATTAGCATAACAGACCACACCCAAGAGCAGAAACCCATTAGGATTGGCTACAGTAGGGGGTGTGTGGCCTAACATGCAAAGGAGTCCCTGCTACAAAAAAAGGCCCTGGGTTTGGACAACAAACAAGGAAAACAGAATAAGAAGGGAAAGGTGGGTGTGGCTGGATGACCACACTTCTGGTAACATGGGGGTGCGGCCTAATGTGCTAATGAGCTGTGCTGACAGGGGTGTGGCCCAATATGCTAATGAGTTCCTGCTGTTGGGTGGGGCCTGTTATGCTAATGAGTTCCTGCTGGGCTTTTTCTACAAACAGAGCCCTGGTAGAGAGATTCAGGTGAATAGCTGTGTTGTCCGAAGCAACAGAATGAAGTTTGTTGGTCTTAAAGGTGGCACTGGACTCAAAGTTTCATTCTGGGTCTCGGCTTTCGTGGGTCTCGCTTCTTCAGATACATCGAAACCAACTTCCTCAAGCCTTACAGATAGGTAGAGAGATCCAGGTGGGGTAGCCCTGTTGATCCGAAGCAGCAGAAAAGCACGTTTGATTCCAGCGGCACCTTTAAGACCCACAAAGTTTAATTCGGGGTATCGGCTTTCGTGTGCAGGCCCACTTCTTCAGAGACATGTATACAGCTGTGTACGGATGTATACAGATACACGTCTCTGAAGACGCGTGCACGCACACGAACGCTTATACCAGGAATAAAACTTTGCCCGTCTTAAAGGTGCCGCTGGACTCAAACTTCGTTCAGCAAGCGAAGCAGCGAGACCACACAGGAAACAACATGTTAGCTTCTAGTCACGTTTCTCCCCCCTGAGCCGCTTGCTTTCTACGTGCAGGGAAGCCAAGCAAGCCCCCCTTACAATATTTAGTTCTAGCTCTAGTTTTCTACGTCAAGGGGAAGGGGAGTTTGAGTTTTGAAACAAGGGAACGTTAAACCATGCCACTTTCCCCCTGCAGTCTGCGGCGGCCTGTTTCTGGAAGGACTAACCGTCCCGTGTGATAAACCAAGATGGGTCGCCGTCCGTTTTCCTTCTAAGCTGTGGAGTCTTGTGAGCAAAAAATTCTACTTTGTGAGCTACTGGCATTGAAGTTGTGAGCGAGCCATTTGGCCGCTGCATAAATTAGCTTTCTCTGGAGCCCCTCCTTCCTGAGCGAAGGCAGAAATGTGTGCGCCAGAGGCTAAAAAACTGTGAGCTAGCTCACACTAACTCAGCTTAGAGGGAACATTGGTGAGCGTGAGCCAGCTCACAGTTTTTTAGCCTCCGGCTCACGCATTTTTTGTCTTCGCTCCGGAAGGATGGCTCCAGCGCAAACTGATTTACGCAGCAACCAAATGGCTCGATCACAGCTTCAATGCCAGTAGCTCACAGAGTGGAATCTTTGCTCACAGGATTCCGTAGCTTTGAGGGAGCACCGGTCGCGCCGTGCTAGTCTGTCTGAAGCGGTAGAAACGAGCAAGAGTCCAGTGGCACACTAAAGTCTGACACGGTTGGTGGCAGGGGAGGAGCTCTCGTGAGTCACCGCGCACCAGAAACCCATACGCTCTCAATCTTCACGGTGCCAAAGGGGTCTTGGGAAAAGGCGGCAGACGACTTACCGCGGCCACCAGGCTGTGCTCGGTGATGAAGGTAACGGCCAGGAGGGGCAGCGTCTCCGTGGAAAGCGAAGCCACGCTGTGGAGAGAAACGCGGCGGAAACTGTTAGCCTGGAGAATGGGCAGGGTTGCCACCTCCGGGTTGGGAAATGCCTGGAGCTTTGGGGATGGAGCTTATGGAGGCTCTGGGGAAGGAAGGAAGGAAGGACCCTCTGTGGGGCAGGGTTTCCTCTAAGCTGAGTTCGTGTGAACAAGCTCACAGCTTTTTAGCCTCCGGCTCACACATTTTTGTCTTTGGTCAGGAAGGGATGGCAAACTAATTGATGCCGGAGCCCAGTGGCTTGCTCGCAACTTTCATCCCAGTAGCTCACAAAGTAGGATTTTTGCTCACAAGACTCCACAGCTTAGAGGGAGCTTTGGCTGAGGGGTATAAAGCCATAGAGTCCACCCTTCAAAGCAGCCATTTTCTCCTGGTGAGGACCTTGAGCTCTGTAATCTGGAGATAAATTTGTAATTCTGGGAGATCTCCAGGAGGTTAAATACAAGAATACAAAGAACCTGTTAGAAACATTCAAAACTTATTAACGGTACTAATATCCATGTGCACTATTCATACAACGGTTCCAAAGTCTAATAACATATAGGTTCAGTCCATAGTCATTTCCGTTCTCATCCAATATATTTAAAGGAATAAAGTCCCTGCGTCGAGAAACGTCACTTTGTTGTTTTCAAAAGGCAGCCGTTAAGTTGAAAACGACAATTTAACGTTTTTCGATGTGGGAACTTGGATGAGAATGGAAATTCCTGTGGAGTGAACCTATATGTTATTAGACTTTGGAACTGTTGTATGAATAGAGTACATGGATATTAGTCTCTTTAATAAGTGTTGTAATTTGTTCATGGTTTTTCTTCTTGTATTTACCCTCAAGAGGAGGAGGAGGAGATTGGATTTATAACCCACCCTTCACTACCCAGAGGAGTCTCAGAGTGGTTTACAATCTCCTTTCCCTTCCCCTCCCCACAACAGACACCTTGGGACTGAGAGAGCTCTTTTAAGGACTGCTCGTGAGAGATAAGCTCTGAGAGAACTTGTGACTGACCCAAGGTCACACCAGCAGCTGCATGTGGAGGCGCAGGGAATCGAACCCGGCTCTCCCAGCTCGATCTTGTTAGCCGCCTTGAGCCAGCGTGTCCGACAAGGCGGGATACGAATAGAAACAATAAATGAATAAATTAGGATCCGCGCTCTTAACCGCTGCACCAAACTGGCTCTCCTGGAGGTTGGTGACCAGAATTGCGGCTGGGGTCCCCCCCCCCTGCAAAAATGTGCTAGCGCTGTGTCCATTTCCCTGCTGTGCTTTTTAGTTTTTCATTGGAAAGCGATCTTTCATCAGTAAAGTCAAGCTTTAAATCGCTTTCATGAGCAGGAAGGAAGCCCCCAAGGAAGGAAGACGGATGAATCCGTTAGGAGCCATCGCCCCCGAACGTCCCACTTACGCCATTTTCTTGTTGGCATCGGCGAGGCAGAGGGTGCTGTCGTGGCCCACCCACGCCATGTGGTTGCCGCTCTCGGAGAAGCAGACGCTGTGGACCCAGCCGCAGGTGCTGCTCGACTCGAACATGAGCTCCCCGAAGGGCATCTTGGAGCCCCAGGGAGTCGGAGACGGGCGCTCCTCGACCTCTTTGATGTAGGCAGAGAAAATCCTAGGCGAGAAACCAAAGGGAGGCCGTGGGGGTGTGTGTGCGAAATCTGGATGGACCCCACCGGAAACAGGACCCACCTCAATCAGACAATGGAAACAGGCAGGGCTTTTTTTGTAGAAAAAGCCCAGCAGGAACTCATTAGCATAATAGGCCACACCCAACAGCAGAAACACATTAGCCTATTAGGCCACACCCCTGACAGCACAGCTCATTAGCACATTAGGCCACACCCCCGTGTTGCCAGAAGTGTGGTCATCCAGCCACACCCACCTTTTGCTTCTTATTCTGTTGACCTTGTTTGTTGTCCAAACCCAGGGCCTTTTTTGGAGCAGGAACTCCTTTGCATGTTAGGCCACACCCCCCTAATGTGGCCAATCCTAATGAGTTCCTGCTGTTGGGTGTGGCCTGTTATGCTAATGAGTTGCTGTTGGGTGTGGCCAATTCGGGAGCCAGCCGGAACTCCGTTCCTGTGCGTTCCTGCCCAGAAATAGCCCTGGAAACAGAGAACGTTGTTGCACATTTATCGCACGGGGGGTTCTTATGCAAGGGAGAATTTAACATGCACATCATGCGCCTCTTCGTGGGCTGCGTGTCCACTGAGGCCTGTGGCCCAGCAGGTCCAAGAGAGGGTACAGAAGCAAAGAGAAAACATTAGCTGTTGTAGATTTTCCAGGCTCCCTGCCCTCCTCTAAGGGACACAGAGAGGACTCCCTCTTTCTGTGTTCTACCCCTGAGGATGCCAGTCCACAGCTGCTGGCGAAATGTCAGGTCCTACAAGGCCAAGGCCACGGCCAGACCGCCCGGAAAACCTACAACAACTGATGAGCTCCGGCTGAGAAAGCCTTCGACAACATACCAAAAAGAAAACAGACAGATCTCTGCCCCACCTAGTTTACAATCCCAACATCGGCCGCGAAGGAAGCGGCGAAGAAAATACGGGCTATCATTGTGTCTGAAGGGTGAAATGCGTTACCTTGATAAACACTAGAATCCTAGAATCGCAGGGCCGGAAGGGGACCTAGAGGTCATCTAGTCCAACCCCCTGCTCAGTGCAGGACCAGCCTAGAGCATCCCTGGCAAGGGTTTGTCTAGCCACTGCTTGAAGACCGTCAGGGAGGGGGAGCTCAACACCTCCGGAGGCAGCCGATTCCACTGTGGCACAACTCTGACGGTCAAAACATTTTTCCTAATATCCTGCCACTACGTTACCGCCCTTAATTTCAACCCATTCTTGTGAGTCCTCTCCTCTGCCGCCAACAGGAACAGCTCCCTGCCCTCCTCTAAGGGACAGCCCTTCAAAGGCTTCGAGAGACATTCCCAAGTCCCTCCGCCTTTCCTCACAGGGCTTGGTCTCCAGGCCCCCGATCGTCCTCTTCGCTCTCCTTTGCACCCGCTGAGGTACAGGGCAGCGGCTAAGAGACGGAAACCGGAAGTCCCTGCTTTCAGTTTTGCCTCTGCTGGGAACTGGCCAGGTGGGTTCAAGCAAGCGGGTTGCTCTTAGCCATAACTGCACCACCACCCCCAACCCATCTGCAATACGTCAGTCATGACACTGACTTGCCATATAGGGTGGCTGCTTCTTAGTAGTAGAAGACGATACTCCGCCCTTCAGTACCTGAAGGAGGCTTACAAACTCCTTTCCCTCCCCCTCCCCACACCAGGCACCCTGGGAGGTAGGTGGGGCTGAGAGAGCTCTCTCATGGACTGCCCTTGAGAGAACAGCTCCGGGAGAACTTGTGACTGGCCCAAGGTCACGCCAGCAGCTGCATGTGGAGGCGTGGGGAATCAAACCTGGTTCTCCCAGATTACTGTCTGGGCTCCTAACCCCTACATCAAACTGGCTCTCAACAAGGATTTCAGTAAGGCTGTGGATATCAGGGGCCCTTTGAACCGTCGTAAGCACCATCGAAATGGTCCTTTACCTGCATTTGAAATCGCAGGATCCGGCTGCCAGCAGGACGTTGTTGGGGTGCCAGTCCAGGCTGAGGATGGTGGATCTGATGGGTTTCTTGATATGCTTGCAAACCCACCTCCCAGATTACTGTCTGGGCTCCTAACCCCTCCACCAAACTGGCTCTCAACACGGATTTCAGTGAGGCTGTGGATGTCAGGGGCCCTTTGAACCGTCGCAAGCGCCATCGAAATGGCCCTTTACCTGCATTTGAAATCACAGGATCCAGCTGCCAGCAGGACGTTGTTGGGGTGCCAGTCCAGGCTGAGGATGGTGGATCTGATGGGTTTCTTGATATGCTTGCAGACCCACCTAGGAGAGAGGAAGAGGTCGATGACAGTTGTGGCAGAGGGACCCTCCGCTGAAAGAACGAGCAAGCCCCCCCCACACACACACACCATCTGCTTTGGAGAAAATGAGGCCATTTAAGACTAACGCTCGCATCCCACCCGGGCGCAAGGCTCACAATGGCCGCCCAGGACAGAATGTTCCACCCACCTCAAAATCTCCCTGCCTGTGGGAAATGAGCATTTGTGGAGACTAGCCCTGACGCGCTAGTTTTCTGCTTGCAGGGAATTTTAGGAGCGGGTCCCCCGATCGTCCCCTCTCCCGCAGCCAGGAGTGGGGGGAACTCACCAGTCGTTCTCTTGCTCAAAGTAGCAGATGGAGATGAGCCGGGAGCCACTGCCCACTGCAAACTTGTTCTCCTTCGGGGACCATTTCACGCAGCGAGCGGCCCGGTTGATCCGCAGGATGACTAGGGTGGGCTTCCAGACGTTGCCCTTCAGGGTCCAGACGTAGGCATTGCGGTCCGTGCCACAGGTCACAAGGCGGTTGCTCTCCGGGGCCCAGTCAATGCCTGCAGGGGAGACAGAGAGGGTGCGGAGTCTGAGACCCGTCTCTCCGAGGGGGGATGGCCGAACGGGTGGCTCTGAGGTAACGCTGTCAGAGCGGACTCTGATCTGGGAGAACCAGGTTTGATTCCCCGCTCCTCCACATGCAGCTGCTGGTGTGGCCTTGGGTCACTCGCAAGTTCTCTCAGAGCTGTTTTCTCAAGGGCAGTCCTCGAAAGAGCTCTCTCAGCCCTGCCTACCTCACAGGGTGTCTGGTGTGGGGAGGGGAAGGAGATTGTAAGCCGCTCTGAAACTCCTTCGGGTAGTGAAGGGCAGGGTATAAATCCAATCTCCTCCTCCTCCAGTTTTGTGTAGTGGTGAGGAGCCCGGACTCTAATCTGGGAGAACCGGGTTTGATTCCCCGCTCCTCCACATGCAGCTGCTGGTGTGACCTTGGGTCAGTCACAAGTTCTCCCGGAGCTGTTCTCTCAAGAGCAGTCCTTGAAAGAGCTCACTCAGCCCCACCTACTTCATAGGGTGTCTGTTGTGGGGAAGGGAAGGGAAAGGAGATTGCAAGCCGCTCTGAGACTCCGAGTGAAGGGCGGGCTATCAATCTCTTCTCCTCTTCTTCATTAGATCAAAATCTACAGGTGGTCCCCAGCCCAAGAGATATCCGGCTGACCTCAGCCACAGAGCCAGGGCATTTTCCACCCTGGCTCCCACGGGGCGGAACTCTCAGCCAAATAAGATCCGTGCCCTGCGGGACCCGATGCAGTTCCGCAGGGCCCGCAGAGGTCTTCCGCCAGGCGTTTGATTGAGGGCGGCATCAGTTTCCATCTGCCTGGCACTTCCTCCACCCCTGGCCTCCCCGTGAGGCCGATGGCTCCATCAGGAAAAAATTTAATGCCATCGTAGGTGACATGATCGAGGTTTACAAGATTATGCATGGGAAAGAACAGGTAGACAAAGAGGTACTTTTCTCCCTTTCTCACAAGACAAGAACTCGTGGGCACTCCATGAAACTGCTGAGTCGTCGGTTGGAACGGATAAAAGGAAGTCCTTCTTCACCCAAAGAGTGATTCACACATGGAATTCACTGCCACAGGAAGTGGTGGCGGCTACAAGCATGGACGGCTTCAAGAGGGAATTAGATAGGCATATGGAGCAGAGGTCCATCAGTGGCTCTTAGCCACAAGGTATAGATAGGGGCTCTGGGGCAAGTGATGCTCTGTCTTCTTGGTACTTGGGGGGGGGGGCAACAGTGGGAGGGCTTCTCGTGTCCTGGCCCCACTGCTGGACCTCCTGATGGCACTGGTATTTCTGGCCCCTGTGTGATACAGAATGTTGGACTGGATGGGCCTTTGGCCTGATCCAACATTGGCTTCTCCTATGTTCTTATGTTCTTATGACACTGTTGTGTTTCTATCTCTAAGAATTTGTTTAATGAGGTTGCATTTGTTATCTTACCCTATACTGCTCCGAGCCCAGTTTTCCGAGGTAGGCCTAATAATAATAATAATAATAATAATAATAGATGATGATGATGATGATGATGATAATAGATGATTATGATAATAATAATAATAGATGATGATAATGGTGAGGGCCAGAGGGCTGGACATACCTCCTCCAATGCTCATTCATTTTACCCTTGAAAGGCAGGCTAGGTTCCAAGATCGCCCTCTAAGCTTTATCATTCAGGATTTGAACCCAGGTCTCTCTGTTCCAATCACTGTGTCTTAGGGATGCCAGCCTCCAGGTGGGACCTGGAGATCCCCTCGAATTACAGCTCCTCTCCAGACTGCAGAGATCAGCTCCCCTGGAGAAAGGGGATG